CTAAAATTTAAAGTTGAATTAGATATGAAAATTTGGGATGAATGAATTTTTTTGAACAAATTTTATGAAGAGAAAGAGACAAACCTACGACTATAGTCCAATGTGCAAAGGTTTGCCTCGTCACTTTAAAATTGTTAATTTTCCCTCAAAAATTATTGATGAAAAATGCTATTAGATTCAAAAATAGCAATAATTTTGAGAATTCAAGAACCGCTTCACACGAATTTAAGGTCCTCAGAGATCAGTGAAAGTGATCCTCCGAGGTCGAGAGTTACTCTGGAGCAACATAACCCAATGTTCACGAAAGCTTGATGTTTATCTTGTCCATCAACTTTCCACCAAGTAAAGCTGAACCAAAAGCCAAATCCATTAGCCAAAATCAAAAAAAATTCTGTAAACTTGGGGATCAAAATATTCTGATATTTAAGATTTAAGATCTCTATGGATCACAGGATGGTTGCAATGCTCGTGACGGTATTCTAGTCCTCTAAAAGATGTCTACTCTCAATCACTAAACAAAAGAGAAAGATGATCAAGTTACTGCAATAATCATTGAATAGGTACCTAGCCACATCCAACAACGCAAGTTTCATCCTGAGATGACAAGTTAATGATTTTCCATGAGAAGGTCCTGAAGTAATTATTCAAAAACCATTCAGTAATCTGAATTCATATTCATGAAGTTAGTAATTACATTATATCAATCGCTCTTTGTCAAGTAAAAGTTGTTTCCAAACAGTTTTGATTGAGAAACTTATTACTTACTTTTTATTAAAATATATATATATATATATATATATCTAACCTTTCTGTCGCTACAAATAACTAACTTAATCTCATTTTCTATCAATAAAAATTCAACTTTCTAAAACTTACTTATTACGTATAAGTAAACATTTTAAGCTTAGCCTAAAAAGATCAAATGAATTTGGAGCAAACTTTTACCATGTAACTGGAATTCCAGAGAGCCACTGTGCATCAAATGATAGTGGAGATAGTGCCCCTAGCCATGAATACAGTACCCCCAAAAGCAAAACAATGTTCTGATGCTGAATCTTATTCAACCAACCGATCTCATTCTGCAAAATTAATTGAAATATACCCATATTGAAAACCTACAAAAGAATAGTCAAATTCCTAAAGATAGAACCAAACATGCGCAAATTTACCTCGGCTACCTGTCCACCAGCCGCTTGTTTTTTAATGGCTGCATGAAAGTCGTTATCAAAGTGGGCTTTATAAAAGTGCCTTGATCCACCTTCATCAAGAATGTTGTCTTCATGGAAACTATTAGTGCCTCGATATCATCTGTTGAACCCTTTTTTATTCCAATTCTCAAAGAAGTGAATTTATCCAAAATTGGACCTAATAAGATCCCTTTTGCAGCTTCTACCTATGCATACTCAAATACATTATTGTCAACAGAACATTACAAAATGTACAACCAAGATTTAATAGTATAGCCCAGGCTTATTGGTAATCCTATATCAACTAACTTTCCCCTGCCCCCAAGACCTACTCAAAACGAAAAACGAGAGAAGGGAAGGGAAATGGAGTTAACTTGAAAAATGATACCTGGACTGCGATTGTTTTTTTCATGGTATTTCTTCAACCTTTTCAGTTTGTATATCAAAAAGCCCGCGAAGAACAGCAAAATTACCCCGAGAGGAGTCGAAGCTACAACCATTGCAATCCTAATTTCTTGTTCAAGTCACACGTTTACCCCTGAAACTTCTGCTCCATAGGAAGAAACACACAAAGTTCCCACAACTTCATTAATTATATAATCCTATTCTGTAGGCTACATCTGGCTTTGCATTCTTGAATTGATGCACCTTTAGCCATAGAAAAGCCACTCAACTTCCTTATAGAAAGAAATAGCATGCAAAATGTACATAAAGAAAATTAAAGTACATAAAGAAATAGCATGCAAAACTTCACAGCTCTTTTTTTTTTTTAACGACTTGAACAATCATAGAATAAAAAATGGAAGCTAAATTTAGTGTGCTCGACTTATGTATCGAAAATTCACATCTTGTCATTTCAAATTAAAAGCAAAATGAACTTAATGCTAGAAAATTAGCAAATTACCTGGAGAATGAGAATTCCTATTTGAAGAAATCACAAAAAGTGGATCTTTTTCAGTAGGAAGAAGGGGATCAGAAACAGGAGGGTCAGGCTTCACATCAAATGTAGCAGAAAAAAAGTAGAAACTGAGAACCCAAATAGAAACACACGCTATAAAAAGAACCTTCATTTCCCAAAATCTTCAACGTAAAAAAATGGGAATTTTTCGAGTTAATTGTCCCAATGATCACAGTATTTATGTCTATACTTTTGATTGCTCATTGAAATTTAAAATGTCGAGTTTTAGTCATTAAACTTATCAAAACATTAGATGTGACTCATTCCATTGTTAACAAATTGTTATGTCTCCAATTGTTAACCAAACTTTGAAAAATATCTTTTATTGCTCACTAAATTTTGAAAAACGTCTTCGATTACTCACTAAACTTTAAAAAATATTTTCGATTAGTCACTAAACTACGAGGTTATCAAATTTTGGCCATTGAATTTATAAAAATGACATCAACCTATTGTCCGTTAAAAACATATGTAGCATAATCGCAATGGTCGTGTAAAAGTAATAAGTGGACAAACGAATTCAAATTGTCGATTCCATGAGAATTGATGACTCAGTTACGCAATAATTAATATATTTTGTAGAATTTTAAGCTATTTTTATCATTAAATTCAAATTTATTGTGTGTTTCGTTGTTAAAATAAAATTAATATTTGAATGTTGCAATTAAACACAATAAATTTAATTATATTAATTTCATTCACTTTTGGTCCCTCTGTGAAATGGACTATGTTTCGTCACAAAAATCCAAATTTTAATTAAATTTATTGTATGTTTGGTTACAGAATCTAAATATTAACATAATTTTAACAACGAAACATACAATAATTTTGAAATTTTCAAATGATGAAAATGGCTTAAAATTCTACAAAAAAATTGTAAAATTAAATTTAATTATTGTATAATTGAGTAATCATTTCTCGTGGGATCAAAAACTTGGACTCATTGTCCACTTTATTACTTTTACACAACCCGTGCGATTGTGCAACATATTTTTTAACAAACAATAAGTCGAAATTATTTTTATATGTTTAGTGGTCAAAATTCTACTATCTCGAAGTTCGGTGAGCAATCGAAAACGCTTTTCAAAGTTTAGTGAGCAATTAAAAACGTTTTCCAAAGTTTAGTGAGCAATTAAAGATATTTTTCAAAATTTGGTCAGCAAATCGAAGACATAACAATTTGTTAACGGCCCGATGGGGTACTACATGTATATTACATTAGCTAAGTCACTAATTTCGTTAAAGAATTGAAATGGATATTAAGGTAGTGTGCAACTTCAAGCGTTTTGATAAATATAGTGGCCAAAACTTGTCATCATAAATTTCAGTGAGCAATCAAAGATATAGACGTAAGTTCAATGATCATTGGGACAATTAACTCAAAATTTTCTTTTTTATGATATTTCTAGGTTTGAAATTTGAAATGGTTTTGTGGGTTCATTGTATCGGAGTGGTATCTCAGTTTTTTAATTCTGAAAGAAGGGACAAAAAACTGGAGGAAATACCTGCAAATAATCTAAATATAAGAGTAAATTGCGAGATTAGACCTGAAAAGATAATTATTTAAGAATAGCCTTTGAATAATAATCTTTCCAAAAATACCCCTCATAGAGAATTTGCAACTAAAACCATTTCAATGTATAAAAACCTTCAATTAGGTCCCCAAACAAATATAGATCATGAATCTTTAATAAATTTAACCCCAAATATTATACAAAATTTTATTGATCTAAGAAATGCGACAGATATTGAATTAAATTATTTAAAAGAAGATCTGAAAAGTTTCTTTACAGAATATTTAGATCCAAAATTAAAATATAAAAATGTTTATATAGATAATAGAGTAATCAAAATAGAAAATAATATACATAAACTGATTCTTAAACTTGAAAGAAGAATTAACAAATTAAATATATTTATTAAAGAAAAAGTTTTGACAAAAGATAGTGAATTCTATAAATTCTATTGTAATATTTTAAAAACTTATGAAGATTTTAATTGGATTCAAAATCTTAACCCCTCTGCTGCATACTCCGAAGAAATGGTATCAGAGCCATGTTACGAACCTAAAATAATGATGAACTTAGTAGATGAAGAAAATATAATTGAAGAATTTTTGAAAAAAGTTGAAAAACATAAAAAACCAATTTATGCCTATTTACCTAAAAATACCACAAATGAAAGTTTTGAGGATATACACAAAAGATTAGAAAATTTAGAATATAATCTACAAGTAGGACATGCTATTTTAGATAAAAACCTTAAAGGAAAAGATAGGATTATAATTAATCCTCCTCAAGATTTTAGGATAACAGAAAAAGAAAATAATAAAGGGAAAAGACATGAAGAAAATCAATATGATTACAGATGTAGAAGAACTAGAACAAAAATTCTTAAAATCTACTGGTGAAAAGTATGATGAATATAAAAAACAGTTAGAAGAATTAACTGGAAAAATGAAAAATACAAAGATGAATACTAATCCATCAACAAGTCGAGATATAAAAATAGAATTCAGTAGTGACGAAAAATATGATTATCCTTATTATAAACGATACCTATTAAAGAAGGTATTAATCAATATAGAAAAACACAGAAAAGATACATTGGAAATATAAGAAAACAATCCATAAAAGAAACAAATCCAATGAAATCTTATAACGAACCAATCCACACAACAGGAATATGGTTAGATCTAGACTGTGTAGATAAAAATAAAACTATTGAAACATGGATGAAAAGTACCGACTTAGCAATACAATTTAATAAATGGGAGACATATACAGCTTTTGGATGTATAGAACATACATTCAGAGGAATTGTTTCTGAATAGTGGAGAAAGTTACCAGAAACTATAAAAGGAAGAATAAAGTATGGAGAAAATAGAACTGAAGTATTAGATAATATGAATACTTTATATGAACAAAATATACAAGAAATATTAAAAATGTTTGAAAGAGCCTTAAGAACAGAGTTCTTAGGAGATAGATATGCTTCTAATGAAGAAGATAGAAAACAAGATGAATATAATGAAGGAATGATAGCAATGGAAAATTTAAGGATATGTGATATGTGTGAATTAGAAAGATATACATGTAAATTTGAAGAATTATACTATATATTAAATCAAGGAGATTATCAAGAAAATAAGCCTATATTAAAATCTTATTTTACGAAGTTACCATTCCCATGGAGAATTAAGTTATTAAAAGATTATGAGAAGTTATTACCTTTAGGAGAAGATTGAGGAGTAAAAATAGATAGTCTTGAAAGTAGGATTGAATTTACAAAAAGAATGATAGGCATGTGGAGCAGAGAAGCTCTAAAGAGTAGGAAAGCATATAAAATAAGAAAGAATTCCTTGTATTGTTACAAAGATATTGGCCAAATTGAACAATTCGGATGCTATAAGAAGAAATATAAACCGTATAAGAAATATAAAAGAAAATTCAAAAGCTACAAAAAAATTAAGAAAAGGAATTTTAAACCACACAAAAAATATTTTAAGAAAAGAAATTGGAATAAAAAATCCAAACCAAGAAATATTAAAAAATGTAGATGTTTCATCTGTAATAAGGAGGATATATTGCTCATCAATGTCCTATAAAGAAAGATAGACAGAATATAAAAACTCTTAGAATTTATGAAAAATTCCAAGAAGATAGTGATATAGAACCAATTGAATATTTTGAAAATTTAAGTAGTGAATGCAGTAGCATTTATGAGTTAAATACATCCTCATCAGGGGAAGATTCTGAGGAGATAGTAAATATGAATCAAGATATACAACAAGCAGATCTAGAAATAGAAGTAAAAACAATTGAAGAAGTTGAAGACTCGATAGAAGGTATAAATCAAGAAATTACCTTTGATATTAAAAAATACAAATGAATAACCAAGAAAATAATAGACCTACAAAAAAAAGATGTATTTCATCAAGAATTCTTAGGAATACTACCAAGAGTAAATAAAACAATTGTAAGTATGAATTATAAAGAAATATCTATCAATATAAAAGATACTATAGGAAAAGTAAGAATTCCTATAATTACAAAAAAATGGGTAAAACAAAAGTTATCCAAAATTTCGGAAAACATAAAAAACAAGTTGAAATGCATTGAAATATGAGGAATCCAGATAATGGTAAAAGGATTCTTTAGAGAAGGTATGAACATACCAATAGAAATATATTGTATGGACAACAGAATCTTACAAGATCCTATTGATACTCTATTAGAAACAGTTGTAGGAAACTTAGTCTATAAAAAAATAATATTTACAGTAAAACCAAATTATGCAATATCACTAATTGATGATAATATTGACCAAAGTTTCAATCTATATTATAGAATTGGAAACTTAAAAATGTTACAAAAAAGTAAGGCTATTAGTATAAGCATAAAATCAATTTTTGCTTTTAGTACTAACCATAGTAACAATCTAAGAAAAATAACTGATAATATTATCATACATAAAGATTTTGAGGAATTAGCACAATATATACCTCCTAGAAAGTACCAAGAACATGAAGTTACTATACCAGAACAGATAATGCTTGATTTCCATAAACAAGCTAGAGAAATTAATTCTGAAGGAAAACTGATAAGAAGAAATAGTATCAGCCTAGAAGGAGATAATCTTATTGCAAGATTCCCCTCTAGACAAGACTCTAAGATAAGCAAATTCAAGAAATTAAGTATTGCTAAACCACCAAATTCGCAATATTATATCAAAACAAGATATATAAATCAAGAAGGATATAAGAAGAATTTTCTTGTCCTCATAGATACTGGAGCAGATAAAAGTCATGTAAATACTAAATTTGTTAGTCATTTAATAGATTTTGAATTACCAGAACCATATATATTCAAGGATTATTTAGGAAATAATCTTGAAATAAGAAAATATGTAAAGTTCTCTCTTATACTTATGGGAGAGGATCACAAAGAATATATTAAAGAAATAATTCTATACAAAGATGAATTATATGGAGTAGATCGTTCACCTATACTACTAGGAATGAACTTTCTTGAAAAACATAGTCCTTATAAAATCTGCCAAGGATATTTAAAAATAACAGTTGATGATAATCCAATCA